AGTGAACCTGAAGAGTAGGAAGCTGTTACAATACATTAAAATCCCTAAAATAAAGTACCAGTAGCTGCTATCAAACAAATTCTTATCTGTTAAATATTCCCTATGATATCCCTGTGCCATGTGCAGCAGAGGCTGTTGCTGTGCTGTCCCCTCAGCCCACCTGGGAGTTCACCTGTAGCTCTGACGGACAGTTCCCCTGCACACTGACAGCTTCCCGCCTCTAGCCCACTTTTACTCTCTGCTTAGCTACCCAACGGCTTTCTCTGGTGCCTCCAAAGGTTGCTCAGGCTAATACTGGCAGCACTAAAGTGCTGGGAACTTAATGCCCCCAGTATTAAATTGTGGATAAAATGCCAGTCTCCCCACTGCTTGGTGGACAATCATAAAGAACAGAGCCTCCATTGCCCACAGTGTTAATCTGCTCACTAATCTGCCTCTTTTCTTACTGGTTTTCCTTCCTTCCCTGTCTCATTTTCTCCATTCTTTCATGTGTGCTTCTTGGGATCACCTCCCAAAGAGACTACTTGTACCCAAGTCCTCGTCTCAGGCCCTGCATGCATAAACTACTTAGCATGATGTGGTGATTTTGTGTCCTCTTTGAAAAACAGGTATCTGCAGGAATCAAAGTAAAAGAGCTTTACCCTCATTCTTTACAACTGAATAGATCTTTGGAAATATCTCATCCATTCCTTTCAATAAATATTTGATGATCTCTTACTAATGCAAAGAGTTTTTCTGTGGGTTGCAGGGTATGCCCAGATGAACAAAATATAGTTCTAGTTTCAAAGACCTTAGACTTGAGAATGAGACATGAAAGATGGAAGAAGGAACCCTATCACTGAAGAAGATTCAGGCCACAGAAAAGTGATGTGCAGTTCCAAGAGAGGGACTACTTCCAGCTGACTAGTATTTCATCACTACTCAGACACAGCCACTCTTCAAATTTTCTAACTCAAACGTGTGATTGAGGACATCTATCTTTTTATAAACTCAGCACTGACTCACCCACAGGTCAGCCCAAACATGGTACGTGTGATACAGCCTTACAGGCAACTGATTCAATACCTGAAGGCAAGGCATCACATTGCAGGGTCCCTAAGTGACCGCTCCAGGTATCATGTGTGACGCTACATGGCCAGGCGAAGCGAGGAAACCAACCAGTGAGGCTTCCTTGATCATGCCAAGCATGTTCCCATCTCAGGCCCTTTGCTCTTGACATTCTCTGCCTGGAAGGCCCTGCCCTCAAATACCTGCATGGCTCACTCTTTCAGCTCTTTAAGCTCTCTCTGCTCAAGGCCTTTCCTGATCACTCCATACAAAATAACAGCAACCCCTACATCACCACACTCTATTCATTCCTTGCTTTCTTCTTCATAGCATGCACCGCCACCTGACATATTATATATGTGCTTATTTATGTTTTAATCTCCTTCCTCTAAAAGGTCGGCGATGGTAGGGACTTTCTCCCCCCTGCTGTATCCCTTGCACCAAGAATAGTGAATGGAAGAGAGACGGTGCTCAGTGAACATTTGTTGAAGGAATGAATAAATGATTTCATCATTAGAACCTGAAAGTCATCACTCACCACAGTCGAATTTCTATATACTTGTCTGGAATCATGACATGACCCTATAACTCAAGGGTCTAAAGGGTACAAAATTATTTTGTGAAAAAAACTTTTGTAAAGCTTCAATGTGTATAGCAGGTGTGAATAAATAAAAGTTTTAATTTTGTCAGAAACTTGAACAGGCCATGGAATGCAACTCATTCAATGTCCACAGTGTAAAGAGGAAAGAAATCCTGAAATTTTAGATCTTAGATACTGTACCTACTTTACTAAAAAAATAACTTATTCATGCAAAAAAATACTTATTGTGTGCTTATGATGGGCATGGTGTTGGGTGAAGTGCTATATGTGATTTTTCTTTTGCAACATTCTGCCATTACAGATAGGGAAAGTTCATCTTTTTAAAAACACTTACATTTTCCCCCATTATTTATTGACGTCGGCAATCCCTGAGAGAAAATAGTCACAGGAAATAGTTCAGGTGGAGTCTTTTATTCAGCTAATTTTAAAGGCAAACATTTTTCTCTTTTCATTGAGTTTAAGGGAAGGAGGAACCACTGTATTTAACAACATTTAATGTTATTAATTTTAATAACAAAAATTACATAAATGGTTGTCAAACTAATTACATAGGGCTAACTGGTTTCACCACAAATTCATGCTCTCCAAACACAGGAGGCCCTCATAGTTGCGTGATAATCTTTTATTCACCCCTGATTGACTCACCACTACATTTCCACAGCACTTCGTCCAAGTCTTTATCATTCTACTCATGACCTCAACCTGCCCTCCTCTCTCTGACTTGACTTAGAAGACTATAGCCAAATTCCTTTCTTTCTACCACAAAGTTCCCATGCTTCTGTCTCAAAAGAGTCCCTCCTTTGAAGAGTCCCATCTTTTTAAAGATTCCGTCCCATCAGCTTCGCCTCTCCCTTACATTTCTGATCTCTTTTCCCTTCAATGGTTTCTTCTCCTCTGCTTATAAAGTAGGCTCAGGTCTTCTTATACTAAAAACTTACTTTCTCTATACTACACCCTACCTTTGATGTAGTAAACTCTCTCTCCTTCTCCTTCACCCCACTTATTAAAACGGAAGTCTGTCCTCACTTCTTCCATGTGCATCACCCTCTCCTCTTTAACCCCTCACAGCCTGGCTACACTTCTACCTGCCTCAAGATAATCAAGGAATGCCAGGAGTCAAATCCAATGGCTCTTCCTTCACTGCACCTTCATCCCCCTGTGCCGTGCTATAGGAACGACGATGCTCCCCTCACCTTTCCCAGCCTCCATGACACCACACTACTGCCACCACATTCCTGCAACTGCCCCTTGTTTAACATTGTTCATATCCGCTTTTTTCCCTCTTCCTTTCCAACCCACAGACATCCCCCAAGGATCGCACCCTTAGCCTCTGCCTCTTCTTGCTCCATTTTCTTTATTGGCCATTCCTGAGACATTAAAATTGTTCCTAAGTAGATGACTTACAAACCTCTCTTTGTAGCTCTAACCTCTCTCCAAGACCTACCCCTGTATTGTAGTCCCTTCATCTGGACAAACCTGTCAGGCCCAAAATGGAACTTCCTTTTTCCCCTCTTCCTCATCCTTCTCTGAAGCTCCTTCTTGACAATGACCCAAGCATTCTCTCAGCTGAGCCTGACAATGACCTCTGACTTCCCTGCTCAGTGTTCAGGTTACTCTTGCGCCTTGTCTCTTGAGTCTGCCCTCTCCCCTTCACTCCCACTGTCTAATTTCCTCTTGCCCCTAATTTGACAATAGAGTCTATCTGGTCTAGCTACTGCCATTCTTTCCTCATTTCATACATCCAACACAATGCTTCAAGATTAGCACCCTGAAGCACAGTTCTGGTCCTGTCAACCTTCCTCCTCAGAAACCTTCCAAGGCTCCCTGGCAGTTACTGAATACAATCCACATAAAAGTTGCCCCACAGCCTTGAGTGACCCTCTCTTTCTTACCTTACCTCTCACTTCATCTCTGGGCATCTCCTACGCTCCAGCCAAAGCACATCATTCTTTTTTTTCCCCCATTTTTACTGAGAAAGAATTTTTAAGCACACCATTCTGTTCCCTGAATGGGCACACAATTTCCACCTTTGCTACGCTGTTCCTCCCCCAGGATACCCTTCCTTCCCTGGCAGCCCAAACTCCACCTATGTAAATTAGCGCTCAAAGGCTCCCTCTTCCAAGAAATCTTTCTTGATTCTTCCTTCTGAAGTCATTGCTGTATCCTGTGAACTCCTACAGCTCTACAGGCATATAGCTTTCTCAGCACTTAACCATTTTCCACCATTCTTGTAGTTCGTTACATGCATGCCCTGTCTCTCCTTCCTGGCCATGAACTTCCTCTGGACAGGATCTAAGTCTCCTTATTCTTCAAATCTCCAGCCCCCGTAACATTTCCCAAACCCTATCCAAAGGTATACACTGCCTGAGATGTAGTAGGCAACTAACAAACGTTTGTAAATTAATCATTGTGACCCAAAGGGTTAACTTTGGATTTTAGTGCTTGAAATTCTCTCAACTGTAACAACAATTACTTTTTCCTTGCAGGATGTAAGTCCCACCTCCCCCACGGTACCCATAGTTTATTCCTTTTGGTCCCAAAGGTCAATTTTCAGACATCTTTTATTCCCAAGTCTTCCGAAAAACAAACTTGTTTAAAAGACCCAATAGTGGAAAAGAAAAGAATTAATGCTCCTTTAAGTGAAGACGACGCATCCATGCAAAACAAATTACTTGCTGCAGGCTACAGCAAAAGGTACAACTGTTTACCAGACTGAATTACAGGATTCAAGCTGTATCATTAACCTTAATAGTCCAATCTTTAGAAAGCGGGGCATTGCATTTTAAAAATCATCACAGTTATGTTAGAAAGGAAATCACTAATTCCTGAGTCATCAATTGTGCTGTTGTATAATTATTCTTTTTCTAAACAGTTGATTTACCTTGATAATTGCTAACATTCTTAAACTTCCTTGTAAGACATTGATATCTCCGTATTTCACTTGCAAATATAAAGACGACAACTTTTTTTAAAAAAAGCTAAAACCTCTTAGAATGCCTTTTACATTCCAAAGTACTTTTCTCAGAAAGAAACTGGCAGAACTAATAAGAGAGTAAAGAACTAAGATTCCAAATTCATTTTTATAAATCTATCCTTACACCTTGGATGCGATCCAACAACCTCATATTAAAATTTTAGAAAGCTTGACTTGAAGGACATGAGGAAATTTACTTTAATGCTCACAGCTCCAAGAAAACCTGGTCTACGGATCAACATTAATTAAGAGAAGAAAAAAAACATATGTGGACAACCCTGGTTGTATTATTTTCAATGCAACCTCTGCGAAACAAAACAAAACAAAAATTTTTTAAAAGAGAAAGAAACGTCTGATGCCAACGTGTCGTATACTTACTTGTGTAGCTATGACTGCTACAGGCTCTTCAAGAGGACCGAGGCAGCCAGTTTGGATTCTGACAGCAATGCAGTAGAATCTAAGGTGTTACAATTAAAATAGGTTCTAAGCAGGTTAATCTAGTCCCACAACATTTTAATAAAGAAGTATCAAGATGTTAAGTGTAAAGGTGCATTCATTCCTATAAATACCGCAGGAGAAATACAGGAGCTGGGGAGTCAAACTGCAGTGGGCTCACATATGAATATGCTATCTCCCTTCCTGTCTCTCTCTGCCCAACCCCACACAAGCCTATCTTTATCACACAGAAACAATTAAACAGCTATAGACTTTGGATTCAATTCTGTGTCCTGGCTCCCACTGGGTGACTTACTGCCAGCTTGACATTTTCCAAATTCCCTACTAGCAGGCTACATTGGCTAGGAAAGCAGACACACTGACCTGGGACCCCATCACCATGGGTCTTTGGGGATTTCAGTTCCCGAATAATACATGGTACCACCTAGTCACTGTGAAGGCTGGAAGAGTGGATGTCACCAGCAATAGAAATAAAGTATCCCCTTTCCTAAGGAAAACGCCCTGCCTGTGTGATGCTGACCAAGGCTGGAGGTGGGGGGATACCAAACATTTCTCAGTATGATCTTTTTCTTGTTTTTAAATACTACCCCCCATCTCTTATACACACCTCCAGAGTTCATTCTATAAGAACCCACAAAAAAGACCATATTCTTCAGCCATAAGATTTCCAGCGTTTAAATGTGGAAGAAGGTCTAGTTGACATTCAAAGTTGTGGGGACAGAGAGAAGGTTGTGACCATTAAAGACCCTTTCCTTCAGGTCAGACAAGAGATAAACAATAGAAACTGCAGAGTCAGGGCATCTAAGACCCTTACAGAACAGGGGCTGAGGAGAGGAGAAGTGTCACAGGATGGAAGCTCCCTTCAAAACCTGGATGCCAGCAAGCCCAGAAAGGGTAACCATTATCCTGTTTCCCTGCCATGTGCCCAAAGCCATATGCACACTTCCACATCCCCATGTCAAGAGACATGTGAAAAAGGGGGGAAGTGAGGGGAAGCAAAGGGAAGTGAGAATCCCTACACCCGGGCATCCACGCGGCAGGAGCAGAACCGAGACTGTGCTCAGAGTTGCAGGGTCGAAATAACGAACACTGTCCTACAGTCAACGGGTGGCAGCAAGTCAGGGCACCCGCAGATCTCCGGGTTTGGAGAGCAGTATGCAATCACACGAGTATACACACGTACACAGATTCACACACACGGGATTTTACAAATTCGCACCACCCCAATGCCTCCCTCCACACTCAGACACCAAGTGCATCCTGCACACTTCATCGTTGCCATCACCACACTCTTTCTCCCGGAGAAGTCAGCCGAGAGCTGAGGGATCCTAGCGGGGATTCCTGGAAATGTCATCTCCCAACACCTTCCCCCAACACCGTACGCCACCCCCATCCCTTCGGCTCTACCTTTTACACACGCACACACACACACACACACACTCCTGCCATGACTGTCATCAGGCCCGCCGCTGCCCCCAAAGCACCGAATCTCAGCGCGCACCGGACACCACCTACCCTCAGCGCCCCCTTCCCCCGCCCCGTTAGCTCGATGGCTCAAGTCATTGCCCCCTGGATGTCGCCGGCTGTCCCCTCTCATCCTCACTATTGTTCCTTGCAGGCGCCCAGGGGCGCCCTTCGGCGAGGACCGGGTCTCCATCGGGGGCAGCATCAGCACCGGGGACCCCGCATTTACCCACCAGTCCCTGGCGGTGGTACCTTGCCTGACAGCTGGGTCCGCGGGCCCGCGGGAGCAGGCGGCGCTAACGACAGCGTTGGTGCCGAGGCTGGGAATAAAGCTCCACTCCAGCCGCTCCTACCTCCAGCGCCACCATCTTCTCCCGCCGCCGCCGCCGCCGTCGCCGCCGCCGCCGCCGCCGCGACCGCAGCCGCCCTCACCCAGCTACAGCTGGGGCTCCGCAGCCGGCGCTCGGGCCCCTCAGGTCCCGCGGCCCCACCCCCTTCTCCCCACCCCTAGTGACGCGCGCCTGGGCTGAGCCGGCGGGCTGGCGAGGGAGTGCGCCGAGGGGAGCGCGCGCGCACGCCGCGTGCTAGGAGCGCCCTCGCCTCCCACGCCCACCTGCGCGCACGCGCGATGCGCGAGCCCGAAGCCGCGGGGCGGAGTCTTCCATGCACCGCCCCTGAAGCTCCACTGTCCCGGCGCGGGTGGGCGTGAGGGGCCTTACTGCTTTTCCCAGCCCGTTGCGCCCCAGCTCGGGTGGGCGCGTCCTGGGGTGCGTGGGCCCCGCTGGAGCTCCCCGGACCCCCTCCGGCTCCCGGCCCGGCGCACGGAGCGGGAAATGCGGCTGCGGGACCTCCACCCTACTCGGTAGAAGCCCAAAGGGGTCCCCGGCTTCCTCAGCAGCAGCTGTGGCCAACCTCTGCTCTCGGGACCACGAAGCCCGGCCGCCGCGTCGGCTCCTGAGGGGTGTTCCCTTTCCTGTGTTACTGCCGAGCTTTCCCGCTTCTCCGGCCCCTTGAATGCTGCCTGCACTGCGCGGCCAGGCAGGCGCACAAGGCCCCCTAAGAAAATGGGGTTGCCGGTGTCTCTGGAGCGCGCTGCAGTTCTGCGTTTTCGCCGCTAGGCAGAGAGCTGCTCGGGTTTGGGCCGCGTTTGCAGCCCTTGAGGGGAACTGCCCAGTCCTGCGGGAAAGAGCAGGAAGCCTCTGGATTATGATGCCAGGAGTGTATTTGAGCCTGGCTTAGGGCATCAGCCCCAGATATGCCTGGAAGGGAGTAAGGGAGGGGACCTTTGCAGCAGGGACCAGGTAACAGGAGCTCTGCGTTAATGAAAAGCAGTGGGACGGACAGGCCTCGGGAGACCTGGGTTCTGGCGCCTGCCTCACCTGTAATTGGCAGTGTAATATGGGCAAAATCATTTCCCCTCTTCACAGATTTCTCAGCAATAATAAGAAATGATATTTGCACAAAGCCTTATAGTTTGCAAAGCCATCTTCATACACGTATTCTCATCTAGTAAAATGAAGATAAGTTTTGGTTATCTAGATCCCTTGGGAAAGAGATCTTCTATCACATCGTGTTTCCATATTATTTTAGCACAGTGCCTCCAGAAAAATCTGGGTATGTAGCCTGAAGCATTCTTGAAGTTTTGTGTTTCAGTTTTAAAATTCACATGAATTTGCGTTCTACTCGACAATGAATCTCTCTGTCTCTTTTTCGCTTTAATAAAGCAAATAATAACTTCCCCTCCTCAAAAAGATCTTTTAGTAAAACTGAAATATTATATACTAGGAAGATGTAACATACTTGCCCTGTGACCTTACATTTCCATTTTTTTTCCAGCAAATATTTATTCGACATGTGCTCCAGACAAGGTCCTTGTTCTCCCAGAGCTCTCAGTACAGTGGAGGAAACAGGTATTAAACAATCAGACTAATAAGTGCAACCACGATCAGTTCTCAAATGCAAAGGTGCCAAGGGTTCACAGGGAAACCTAATATATTCTCCAGGATTGGGTAAGTCTTTCTGGGGAAGTGACCTTTCAAGTTGCCCAGGAGAGGCAGCACTGAGACACTTATAGGTAGACAGATGGAAGGAAATGTGTAGAAGCCCACCCAGGTGGTGCTGAAATGAGAGGGAAGGAAAGCCGGGTGGGAGAGGCAGGCAGCTGCAGCCAGAAACTGTGGGCTTTTTTTTTTTTTTTTTTTGCGGTGCGGGGGCGTCTCACTGTTGTGGCCTCTCCCGTTGCGGAGCACAGGCTCCGGATGCGCAGGCTCAGCGGCCATGGCTCACGGGCCCAGCCGCTCCGCGGCATGTGGGATCTTCCCAGACCGGGGTACGAACCCGCGTCCCCTGCATCGGCAGGCGGACTCCCAACCACTGCGCCACCAGGGAAGCCCCTTGTGGGCCTTTTTGAATAAGGATTTTATAAGGATTTTATCTTGTGAGGCTTGGAAGGTCACTGAAAGGCTGTAAGAGTTGGGAGTGAGTGATCATCATCACATTTTAGTTCTTTAAAGATGGGTGAGGTAGTGGTGTGAAGAAGTGATTCATGGAGGGTAGGGTCCAGGGCAGAGAGAATCTGAGCCCCATGACACATCCCTGCCTATATGCTTGGTGAGTATTTAGAGTTTTTAGTCTTTACACTGACTGCTCTTCTGTTTGCTTTTAGTTCTTCCCTCTGCTTTCATATGTACCAGTTTGGGGGCCTTTCAGAGTGCCTCTCTGTAATAGTCCCTATTTTGTTACTTTTAATCTGCGGTTTAGGAAAGAAATTAACTAATCTTGTTAGAATTTCAGGTTCGGTAAGGAGATGTAGGTTCTGAGTGAGAGGCTTTTTCTGTGCATATGCTTGGTGCCATTTGGTTTGTTATCTCCGTGATCTTTCTGCTTATTTTCTGCTTTTGTGCTGTGCTTACAGTGAGACAAAATTCCTTGATGCATGAATGAGAGATGCATTATTACTTTAATAATATAACATCTTTTCTTCAAATCTTGCATCACAGGATTTTTGTGCAGATTTAAAAAGTGAGTGAAATTACTCTGTGAAGTATTAAGTGCCATATAAAAGAAAATAATCATTGTTATTATGGCAGCTTAGAGACCTCCAAAACTAATTAGTTACCAAATATTCACATCTTGGAAACTCACTCCCTCCTCTTCCCTCCACCCTCCCACGAAAAAAACACAGAGATGCCTATTTCTTTTGGAGAGCACAAACTGTCTGAAGTGCTCGTGTTACTCTTTGTGCCTTGGCTGGCAGGAAACTCAAGCCAAATTTGCAGGTCATTGTAGGAAATGGGTAGATCCATATGATATTAATATCTATGTCATAGTTCTTCCCTTGGTTTTGTTTTTCTGTTCTATCTATAGTTTTCCTGTGCCTTGTTTATTGGTATTTTTCTACTTTATTATAGGTATTCTTATAAGCCACTTCAAATATTTGTATCCACCTATTTTAACAAGGGTCAGAACTACTGTTCAATGTTTCAGAAGCCAGGATATAAAATACTGGCACCCTGCCAGCCATTGTAGCCGGTACAATACTATAGACACTGTGCCAAGTGACTTGAGTTTAAATTCAGGCCTTGTCCACCATTGCATGTGGATCTGAAGTCTCTGTGCATGCCAGTCTAGAGCCTCCTATTACAAGCACACTCAAGTTTGTCTCCCACTGGCTCATAGATAATTTCATAATTTCCTTTAGTGTGACCTCCAAGTTCCTTAACTCATCAGCCTGCCCTGTACTTACAAGTATATCTTAGTGGTATAAGCACGGTTTGTTCACTTGATAAGAGGGCAGGGATCCATGATCTTTTACTGATTTAGGTTTCTTTTTGTCAGCAAAGACCTGAAGATTCCAGGATTCACTAAATTCATTCACACTTCAAAAGAGTGTGACCATGTCTTTCAGCCTCTGTTATGATTCTGGACAGCCCAAACTGGACATGTCTCTTTGGGTAGTGGTAGATACTTTTGCTTGATTTCAGAAAGTTACTTAGTGATTGCCTTCTTTCTATCTCAGTCCCTGAGTTTGTCTTATGAGCTGAGGTTGTATATAGGACAAACACTCAGCAACCTTCAGGTAATGAGGTTTTTCTTGAGGATTTCAGTTTTGCTAACATTTGATAATCTAGCAACCTTTCTAATCTACAGTATAGTTATTTTGTCACAGAATTTTAAATGTATGGACAAAATAAACAATTATGAAATGGACATATCCTAAATTTCAGTGAATTTATTTTACACGCTGATTCTTATTTCACCAGCTTTTTCTCTAGACATACATTCCGTCCTGGCTTCAGACAGATCCCCGTCTTTTCGATTCCCCAAACAGGTCAGGCTCCCTCTCTCTTCCTTGAATCACATTCACTGTGCCCTTTAATGATCCCCACCAGAATATTGTACTGTGGCTATGCTTATCTGACCCATTGGAAGATATTCTGGTTCCACACATAGTAAGTCTACAACTGAAAATGGAGTTTCTGAAAAAAGAATGTCATGGGAACATATTGTCTTGTTTAAATGGTTATGTGCCCGTCCCTGAACCAACCTCCATGGCCAGCGGCAAGACTCCCACCCGTGGAGCTGGGTCCATCCTCCTCAAACCACGTGGTTGATTAAGGATAGAGCAGACCTAAGTATTACCACAAAGAGCGGGAAATGGACAGAGGAAAGCAACTATCTTGTTCATCTAACGCTTATACCAGAGAAAAATGAGAAAATTTAACATAAATGTACAATAATAGGGGAATTGGCACATATATTAATATGTCTTAACAGTGCTATATTATGCAGCCATTAAAAATGTTATATCCCCCCCCCCCCAAAAAAAAAAGGGCTTCCCTCGTGGCACAGTGGTTGAGAGTCCGCCTGCTGATGCAGGGGACACGGGTTCGTGCCCCGGTCCGGGAAGATCCCACATGCCGTGGAGCGCCTGGGCCCAGGAGCCATGGCCACTGAGCCTGCGCGTCCAGAGCCTGTGCTGCGCAACAGGAGAGGCCACAACAGTGAGAGGCCCGCGTACTGCAGAAAGAAAAAAAAAAAAATGTTATATCCACAGATTTTTTAATAACATGAAAAAAACACAAGCTTAAGTTCTCATCACAGTTTTTATTTTTTTTAACATCTTTATTGGAGTATAATTGCTTTACAATGGTGTGTTAGTTTCTGCTTTATAACAAAGTGAATCACTTATACATATACATATGTCCCCATATCTCTTCCCTCTTCCATCTCCCTCCCTCCCACCCTCCCTATCCCACCCCTCTAGGTGGTCACAAAGCACCGAGCTGATCTCCCTCTGCTATGTGGCTGCTTCCCACTAGCTATCTATTTTACGTTTGGTAGTGTATATATGTCCCTGCCACTCTCTCACTTTGTCACAGCTTACCCTTTCACCTCCCCGTATCCTCAAGTCCATTCTCTAGTAGGTCTGCATCTTTATTCCCATCTTGCCCCTAGGTTCTTCATGACCTTTTTTTGTTTTTTTTTTAGATTTCATATATGTGTGTTAGCATACGGTATTTGTTTTCCTCTTTC